AGTAGGCTGGGAAAACCAACCCCTTTTTATTACAAAAACAGTCCTGATAAGTTTGCTCAAAAACAAAAACAACAGAATACTTTTCCAACAGATAATTGGTTAAAAAATCAGACAGAGCAGGAGTTTAAACAAAACATTCATCGGTAAAACAAACAGACCATGATCCCTGGAAGTTCTTACAAACGGTTGCCTTCAGCAAACCAGCACTGCCCACACCTCCTCTTTTTATACAGCAGTTCCAAGGCGTTGCCTCTCAGTGCCTTCTCCGTTTTCTCTGGAGTTGTCCCATTGACTGCTGTTGATTTACTCTTGCTAATTGCCTGCGTGCATGAGCATCAATTAGCGAGTCCATCAGGTGTGCGTGGTCTGAGTCTGACTCAGTCCCCTCACACAGCTGAGCTTCATCAGGAACACGACTGGAGGGCCCAGGCTCTTCATCAAGCCGTGAGTCCTGTAATTCATCAGAGCCTCCCTCTGACCCTGATGGCCCTTCAAATGCCTTCTCCACCTCCTCCTCAGATTCCTCAGACTCAGCTGTTGGGAACACAGGCTGGCACGGAATCACGACGGGGAGGGCTTCGGAGGGCCAATCGCAGTGAGAAAGGCATTCAGGACTATTAAAGGCAATAGACCGGTTTTTCCACTTCATAGTGGTGTCGTGGTATTGTTACCAAGTGATTCCCAGCACTAGTGGAAGATCTGTGTGATCAGCTACAAAGAGGGTTAACACTTCAGAAGGCTGATTTATTGTTAGCTTCAAAGGCACTGTGGCATGAGTAATGGGGCCTGCTTTTAAAATTTGGCCATCAATAATTATCACTGGCAATGTAGGTATCTTAAGTTTCTGAACTATGGCTAGACTTCTTAACTTTATTGCCTAGTGGTTGACCCAGAATCTATTAAAACAGGGATGGTGGTTTCCTGACCACTGGGAAGTGTCAGGGTCGAATCAAATTTTATTAAAGTACCTGAGCATGAAGGTAATTGAGCTCCCTTCAGTTCTTGGGTGCCCCCCGTGACCTCATGGAGGGAGGGCATTTCTTGTTTCCCTGGCATTGGGGTTTGTTGTCTAGGTGGTGAGCAGTGAAGACATTGCCAGGCTATCTGTTGTCTCTCCTGAGAGGTTTAGTAGGGCAGTTCTTGACCATGGAGCCAGGCTCTCCACAATAGAAACACAGGTTGAGCTGTCTGCGCATTTGCTGTTCTTTTGCTCCAGGGGCTTTTCTGGCTGTTCCAATTTGCATCGGCTCTTCAGCGTCCAAATCCAAGGGAGCAGGGAGGCTAGGGGTAGTGATGGGGGGAGTCAGCTTTGGAAGTGGTTGGCTGGGGCTGCCAAAAAATGCTTTAAGTTCTGCAAGTTGAGATTCAGCTGTTATAGCAGCTAGGTAGAGGTCTTGTAGACCCTGGGGAATACTGTGTTGTATCAGTTGTGTCATTATGGCATTGTTGAGCCCTCTTTTGAATTGTGCCCTTAAGGCTTGCTCATTCCAATCCAGATCTGCTGCAAGGAGCTTGAAATCTTCAAGGTATGCCCTCACAAAGTTGTTGCCTTGGCGGAGTTGGAAGATGCACTTTTTGGCAGTTTCTATCCAAATAGGGTGTCCAAAATGCTCTCTAAATCTAGTGAGGAAGTTTGGCTAACTATCTAGGACGGGGTCATTGGTTTCAATGAGTGGAAGGGCCCATTTGACAGCAGAGTCGGTTAAAAGCGTGACAGTGAAGGAGAC